ACCTACAGGGTGTTTGTGACTGGGGTTCCGGTAAGAATCCATCTGTACTTTGCTCGGACTAATGTCATGGTGACAGATGCACGAGTAGCGCTAAAGCCGAGACGTTCAGATCCTCAGGTTTTCTTTCGATGTTCGAAAAGTACTCACCGGTTCCGAATGTATTGCGCCTCGTCGGCGATGACACGGTAAAACTTGGTGCGAGCGAGGACTCCCCTATCGCGGTTCAACTCAGACGAAGGAATGGGCATGATGCAAAAAAGTCGAACCCGTGTTTCGCTAACCACTCTTCCTCCATGCCATCTTCAAGATCCTTCGGTAGGCCGAAGTCCATGCATAGCGTCTGGTAGGTGGTAATCACAACATCTTTGGATTTAACGTCGGAAGTTTTCTTTCCAAAAGGAAAAGGCTATGCGTGAGCAGCAGGAAGGAAGGAAGATTCTCTCTAAGGACGCTTACCTTCAGTTTGTCTGTTCCGTGATGAACGTGAACAGTCATAATACCATTCGTTTTGGTCTCAATTTCTTCCTTCCATTGCTGTAGAAGTGCGGCCGGGAGCACGATAAGTGTAGTACGACTGGTCTCTTTCTCCGTCATCGCAGGCTGGTTTACGGCCATTGTTGCGATCATTTGAACAGTTTTGCCTGAACGCGAACAGATACCCGTAAGGAACGCTCATGAGGCGCGGAATAGAATCGCGTACCGAGACCCATGTCATCACTGAGAAAGAGGTGTCAATGGGGTGAAATATCTCGGAGAGCTAAGTACGTACGCCAGAATGCCACCCTTGTGTTCGCCCTTTTCTTGCTCCACCATCCTAAAGCGAAGTCAACACGCCGGACTGGTCATGAGTTACAGAAGCCTCACCAAGCGACACCAATGATCTGGTGGCGCATGAGGTGCACGTCGAGACCAGGCAGAATGTCCTCATCGCTGGGAATGCACGATTGAGCTCACATATAATTCCGGAGGATAGATAACAGCACCTTTGCAAATTCAGCTGTTGCATGGCACCACTTACAGTGATACCATGGCTGGCGTTGTCGATGCCTTTGGTCACAAAATCTGTTACTCTGATGACGGCGTTATTTAGATTACGGTTGGGAGCTTCGCATTGTCGTCGACTGACCGTTGAGCCTGGTCCGCTCCACCTAATAACGAGTTTAATTCAGTTGCCACACGAACATAGAGAGTCTACGCACCGACGTCTATACTTCGAATGGGTGTTTCTTTATCGTAGTTCAAACTAAACCCTCCTGTATCTCCAAGAGCCTTTGATTTCGATCCGCCTGCCGCCTTTGAGAGCAGAAGTGTAAGTTCGCCATCTAAGATGGGAGTGAGAAACACGTCGAAAATTCGAGTTCAAAAAGACACGCACTCGGGCTCGATCCAAGTTCCATTTGCTGCCTGAATTGAACTTCTCTAGCCTGAGTGAGAAGCTCGGGTGTTATTCCATTTGGTGTTCCTGTCGCGTTGCTGGGGGGTGTACGCGGAACATCGTGTTCCTTTGGTACCGGCGATGCCCAGTTGTCGATCGCGTCTAATAACCTTGAAGACTCTCCAGGTTTGTTGGCCGACATGGTGGTGAGGAACAAACGTGGGCAGCAACAGCAATTGACGACACAAGCAAACAACAATAGACGCGCTCAGGTCGTGACGGTGATGGGCAAGATGAAACAATCGAAAACAATGAGCGCGTTTTATTATTACGTGAGGGATCCAAATTCGGACCGCCCGCATAGTCCAAGTCACGGACCTTGGGGCTCCTTCTCATTTAACACTCACAGGGAACTTCTATGCATCCTCATGGTGCGTAAAATGCCACTAGGAGACCAGGATCGAATCCGAAAATTCAAATAAAGAACATATAGAAACCGAACACAACGATGCTTGACTGGCACTTGGTTCAAACGATCCATACTTCATCAAACTCGACTCTGAAGGCAGATCTGGCTCTCTGCCCTTGCCTTTAACGCCGTAGCCTGTGCTTCAAACGCCTTCTGTAGTCCTTCTCCAACCGACTCTTCGACTATCGGCGCCATTTCTCCGCGAAAGACTTCTCGCGACTCGTAAAGCGCCCAAGTTCTCGAGTCCAGAACCACTTCGCTCACGGCACTCCAACGCTCCGCATCCAATACTTCTGGTGGCGATTGGTTCTTCCAAGCGGTTTGGAACCGCTCCGGAGTATTGACATGTGTGATGGTTTCCCTCGTAATCTGGGTACGCTCTGGGTCCGATGGAGTGGACGCGTCGACCGGTCCTTCCAACGGAGGAATGACGGACTTGATTAGGATGGAGCGCCCTTCCCGGGGTGTCTGGTCCTCTAGAGGGATATCTAGATCATCTACGACGACTTGAGACCTGTTCATCTTGGTGAGCACCTGTCGGGAGTCAATAGATTTTCATCTACCTCACGAAAGGGTTCCAGTCCGGATACGACGGAAAATCGAGCAGCGTGTCCCAGACCTTCTGTATCGGTGCATCAATGAGGATTCTCGCGCTCGCGTTGAATACTCCAGGTGGCACCGGAGGGAGGTGGCTTGGAAGATCTTGTCCGGCAGCCAGAGTGGCGAAGAAGGCGAAATAGGTCAACACCCAGTTGGAAGACCTCATGAGTATGCAGCGAAGTGGGAGACTGAAGGGACAGAGCCCTTGATATTTGCTCAATATAAACCCTCCAATTACGACAATGTGGATGAACAAAACGTCCGAGTCATTTCGCGAGAACGGTACGCTGTGGAACTTCATTTGAGAAACAAAGAGAAGCTAAGACGGAACAGGAAACTCCCTTTCAATAGCGTGTACACTCAACACCGCCATACCCACATGAGCTCGGACTTGGTTGATAGACTCAGGCAAACTGCCACTTCCCGGAACCCACTCATTCCGAGAGTCTCGTGATGCTCCTGCGAATAAAACTCTGTTTTCAATGTCCTTCAGTATGGTATCCAAGTCCCATGCTTCGAATACCCGTTCCGCATGCTCTCCCACAACAAGAAAACATACCTTTCATTCCATCTGGCATTTTTTCACCAGTTCCTAGAGCAAGCTAACCGAGCGACGCCACAACTCTCTATCTCCGTCACCCGTGAGTGTGGTCAGGTCCATCCATTGCCATTACCACCACTTACAAGACTCTCACAACAGACCCACGATTCTATCTGGCTTCACGATTGTCGCGAAGGCACCCCAAATGTATCTCGGACGGGTTCAGTGTGATCTATACGCTTTTCCTCGCACGTACCCAATGTTGTTTCGAAAACCTCGTGCTGCAGCCTGTCCAAGGGATGAGTAGACCACTCGAAATCAAGATCCAACTTGATATTCTGCCCCTATCGACTCGTCTACTTTTCTAACCTCGCTTTCAATGCTGTGGCCTGTGCTTCAAAACCCTTCTGCAGTCCTTCTCCATATAATGCTTGCACAGTCGACGCAAATGCCCCGTCATAGACTTCTTGCGACTCGTAGAACGTCCGCGTTCCCGAATCGGAAGTCACTTCGCTCACGGCAGTCCATCGCTCGGCGTCCACCGCCCACTCCGGTGCTGAAACGTATCTCCAGGCCGCCTGGTACTGCTCTGGAGTATTAATGTGTGTGACCTGTTCCTTCGCGAACTGGACGTGGAATGGGTTGGATGGGGTGGATGCATCAACTGGGCCTTCCAATGGAGGGATGTGCGATTTGATTGCGAGGTAGCGGCCTTCTTGAGGTGTTTGGTCTTCGAGAGGCATACCCCAACCATCCGTGATGACTTGGGATCTATCCGGCTCGGTGAGAACCGATGATCATTGCTTGTGGGTGGACAGGCTGTTCACGTACCTCACAAAAGGATTCCAGTCCGGATACGACGAAAAGTTGAGTACCGTATTCCAAACCTCCTCAATCGGTGCATTAATGAGCATGCTCGCGTTCACAGTAAACACTCCGGGTGATGTGATCGGTGGAAGGTGGCTTGGGGGATTTTGGCCAGCAACGAGAGCGGCAGAGAGGGTGAGATAGGCCAGTCCTCGCTTGGGGCACCCCATGACACGCAGAGGTTGGGAGAGTTGGGGAAACTTGACCCCGCCGACATCCAAATAGTGCCTATTTATCGTCCAGCATCAATTCAGCCTTTGACAATCTGAATGAAAGTTCCGTCATTTCGTGGGAGTGGTCAGTGTACCTGGCGTCTGGGAACGGAAGTCAACATGTTAGACAGAGGATTTTCTGCGACATTTCTCCAGCTATATACTGATGTACGTACCTCCGCGCCGACATCGTCATTGATATTTGCCAGTAGCCATAGCTACAATAGCGGGGAGGAGTAGAGACTATCGTCTTGCATTAAAGTCACCCAAAGGCAAAGCTGGACGAGACCCGGCGTCTGGAACAGCGGTCTGTTGGATGTTCTTTCCAGACTCACCCTAGCCGGCGACGGTAAGATGTGGGTGCCAAAAACTTCTTGAAGAACGGTACCGATGATGTAGTCTGGGACTCGATGATAAACGTTCGTAGACCGCAGTAGTCGTGATATGATATGATGAAGGTCATAAACGTACGTATCTAGCTCGTTGGTGAATCAATTGCTAAATTGTCGTTAGGTGGCTGCTCACCGGAGCGTATTCAGCCCCTCGGTCGTGACCGAAGCAAATATGATCCAGTTTGAGAATTACCGGGCTGGCCAACCGTCAAACCAAGGTCCAAGAAGGCCTAAGGAGGTCACCCTACATATCAACTTACATCCAAGTCCTCAGGTTGATATCGTCAGTCCGGTCTCACGAGACTAAGGAAGCCCCGTAGTAATCATTTCAGATGATACCATCCATCCAAAGATTCTGGCGGTATAGAGAGCACCAGCAATGTCATTGAAGAGAGATTCAATTGTCCGAACTCTTGAAGAATTGGATGATGGTCGTGGTCAACGTTCTAGTTCAAGCGGATCTGCCACTGAATGAACATGTGCAGAGATGATGGTGGTAAGGATTAAGGGGATATATAATTGATCTATATACTAAGAGAGATGAACACCGTTGGTGAAGTGGTTATCATGCTTGCCTTCCATTTAAGAGGAGAGGAAAATCCGGCTTCTTGAAGCAAGCGGCTCGGGTTCGATTCCCGAACGGTGTATTTTTGACGGAAGAATTGTTCTTTTCTCCAGAGTCTTTGCTTCTTGAGCTCCTACCACCATCATCACCATTGCCAATGGCCACAACGAGACACTCGAACTCAAAACGCAGAAGGCTTTCTTCACCCAAGAATAATATAAGCTCGACGACAAAGCCTACCCCGGGCACAGTCCTATACCGTCCCACAGGCACGACACGCTTTACCTGCGTTTCCTGTCGTCGAGCTTTGAACGCGTCAACCAACATTACTCCTTCTTCTCCTGTTTTCTGTGCTATGTGAGTCAAATCCACCTTTTTCGCTGTCACACAAGACGTTGATAACCTTTGCCGTTCAAAAGATGCAATTCTCCATCATGCACGATCTGCTCGCGAACTTGCACTGGGGACGATGCTGAAGCTGAAGCCACTCAATCGCCCGTACATTCTCTATCTGAATTCGGACAAGGTTCCGCTCCAGAGACACCTCATTTGACTTGGTCACCTTCCTCACCCATATCGACACCTTCACCGCCCTCATTAGTGGCATCACCTCGCCGGTTCGCACTGGCACTCAACGCCGCGAACACCAATACTGGGAATCTTTTTGGTCCGAATCAGGCTCCTGGTAAACGTAAGAAACATGGCGATGATGGAGGAGAAGCTTCAGCTGGAGAGGGCGCGAATAAAGGGAGTGGATGCGGGAGGGTGGTCTGTAAGAACTGTTGCCTGGAGAGTTCAAACAGGTTCGTCGCAGGCATTGTCATTTCATTTCACCTGTCGCTCAGTGTTTTGTTTGACAGCACAGCCTGTATTGAGTGCTCTAGAGCCTGAGCAAACTAATGAACTACGCGATACCTCACGAACAATTTTACGCCTATCGGCTGCAATGCTATTCTTGCTTTCCATCATCACATACTCATGACGCACACGCACCTTCATCTTATCATAGATTCAGTTATTCGAGTCGTTGCTTCGTCGCTGGTTTTATTGTCCATTGCACTACTACAAGTCGTATTACTCAGTTTGCAATCCAGATTCCACAATATGTATGTATTTGTGTATTACTTCTCTTCTTTATGGGCTTCGTTACATCTCACATCCAAACAATTCCATCTACTCGAGCTCGTCATGCTCTTTTGAGGAACGTCAAAGATCCTCGACCGTCGACGAGGTCGAACCAATACCAATGACATCGATTCGGACCAGAATCTGCCGTACTCAATCGCCTAACGTGACGCTTTCCCACACGACGCGTCGCGTGTTCGGAGTCAGACGCATTCAGAGGTGGGTAAAACAAAAGCGCAAGCAATTTACATTGGTCGATTTAATAGTTATACATTCAAATAAACTTCAATTATGGAGTATCTGCGATACGGTACACAATCTTCTCCGCGCTGACCTATTACCATCTCATCAGTACTGAGACCCACAAACGGAACATGTGTGAACACTGACTTTTCCCTGCTGTTGGAACTCGATCCACTTCTGTACGTCAGCCAGACCGTCTGGTACTAGCTTGACGGGTATCGTCTTCAGCTTCTTCTCGGACAGCAGATGTCCCAGTAAAGCTCCAAATTTCTTTCCAAGCTCGTAATGTTCAGAGTGGGCCGGTTGTTGCCATTCAGAGGGATAAGGAGGTTCGATAGGCTAGTTAAGATTTAAGTCTCATTTCTTCTCTTACTGAAGGAATATTTGCCTTACCTTCCCCAACAAGGTGTAAACAAACGGGAGGTCAGTCTTCACATCGCTCCTCTCGCTCGTGATCGGAAGGACCGCTACGATATGACCGCCATCCTCCCCAAGACAAGTGCTCGTCTGTCTCCCAGAATCCTGCAAGCCAATACAATCGACGGCGTGAAAGAGTTTGTTCTCTGTGGCATGTTTTATTTTGTCGACGACTTCCGGGTCTTTGTAATCGAACAAGATCTCGGCGCCTAATTCCCTCAAGAGATTGTGATTTTTTGGGGAAGCGGTAGTGATAACTCGCAGACCAGATAGCTTGGCTAACTGGATAGCGATTTGGCCGACGGTGGTTGCACCACCCCATATCAGGATCTGGAGGGTTGGAATTGAAATCAGGAATGATTTCGAGACAAAGATTTACGTTCAGAGAACGCACCGGGGGTCCCTCCTTTGCGGGTTTAGATGGCGTTGAAAGGTCCCTATATTGCCAGAGACACTGTGCAGCTGTGAATCCTGCCAAGCCTAGCGTCGATGCGGCTTCAAAACCGATGTGGTCTGGTAAGGGAATCACGACCTGTGCATCCGCCACTGTGTACTCTGCAAATGTCCCACCGAGGGAGTTGTCGACACCTTGCAAAAGAGACTAGTTAAACAACCTGGAGGGAGAACTGATCGTGCACTCACAGGCATTGACAAAACCTGCAACTCGTTCGCCTACTCGTCTTGTTCCTTCAGGTACATCGGGCCCGATCTCCTCAACAACGCCGGCATAGTCGTGGCCGGCGACAACACCATTCGTTAACCAGTGCTGAACTTTCATCCCTGCAAAGGAAAAGGTCAGACTAATCGCATTCGACGAACCATAAGCGTACTCACATTCCGATGGATTCTGAGCAGCAGCAATCACCTTGACGAGGACTTGTCCAGGTCCTGGTTTGGGCACTGAAGTAGTTCGTAGAGCAACTTTTCCGTCACCGGTTGTGAGGACCGCTTTCATTTGTTTTGGGCGAGATTCAGACATGTTTGAGAGAATGAGGATGCGAGTGTCGAAGGCTATCCGGCACGATGGTTTTTATACTCAAATCCATTATTAGAATCTCTGAAAGACCGTGAGGACAAAGTGCTTGTATGAGAAGGTCGTCGGTGAATTGATTACTGATGAGCTCGGAAGTACGGATGTGACCTCTGAAGGGCGTTTAGCGGCGGTTCTTGACCTCGGGAGATGGCATTGAGCTATTACTAAGGTCAAGAAGGACTCGTTTGAGCTCGTCGATTGCAAATTGGTCGTGGCTGTCGCTTGTAAGGAGAAAAGGGACGATGAACGGGTGCAGTGGGACCTGGTGAGTGCCATTTTTGGTAGGTATGTCTCACGCTCGACCTCCAGAGCAGTGCCAGTGGCAGATTCGCTTGAACTTAAGTTGAACTAGAACGTTGACCACGACTATGGTTCAATTCTTCAAGAGTTTGGACAACTGAATCTCTCTTCGATCATATTGCTGGTGCTCTCTATACCGTAAGAATTTCTAGATGGATGGTATCATCTGAACACAAAATTGCCATGTCGAAGGATTAGTACGGGGAATCCTTAGCCTCGTGAAAGCAGACTGACGATGTTGACCTGAGGATCTGAATGTAAGTTGATATGTAGGGCTTCCCTATGGCTTTCTTGGACCTTGGTTCGACGGTTGGCCAGCCCGGGAAATTCTCAAACTGGACTGCACAAAATGCATCGTTGTTCTTGCATGGATGTGTCTCATCAGATACTTGAGACTGAGTTCGAGAGACCACGGGCGACGTTCTCAGCCTTAGAGATGCGTTTGCTATGGAGAAAAAAACTTGCTTTCGGGATCTACAGCCTGCCACTGCGTCTTGTGTGCATATGCCACCTGTGCCTCGCGTCGCATCTGACCGCAACATACCGTTGGCATCGAGTGACGAAGCTTAGCAGGACCTAGAGTTGAACAAATACATTTGTCACCGTACAGAAATACGAGCCAATACAATATTCAAACGCGGCTCAGAGTCCCTTCTCCCTGACCACGTTCATCAATGCCTTGAACTCCTCAGTGAGTTGATTTGCTCCCCCCTCCGTCTTGAAGAGCGAGGTCTTCGTGATGTCGGAAAGAGTGGTATTAACAGAGCTGAGTTCCTTCATTTGTGGAGTCAGCTTCCCAAGCTCTATTCTCTTGCGCTCTTTCTCCTCCGCATCATCAAATTTGTATTCTATGAGCAAGTTACGTTCCGTATTCTTGACTTCAAGGGCCATAGCAACACAGCGGAAGCTGTTATAGAAAAGATACGCTTTCTTAAACAGAGCATCGGGTAGGTGAGAGTCTCGGAGTCTGAAGTTTCCCAATCTCTGGTTCGCGTAGAACTTTTCTCGTTCGTCCTTCACAGTGAGGTAGTTTGGACTACGCCAGTTGCTGAAATCGGGGTTCTCAATTTGGGCACCATTGCGATATCGCCCCAGAACCCAAATCAACACCCACGCAAAGGATTCGCAGTCGTGCCGATACTGTCTGGTGACGTTGCCTAGCATTGCATCACCACTGAGAAGCTCGGTGGCCATGAAAACTCTGGTACCAGTGTTGAGGAAGCCTGGAGGGCGCGGATCTCCTGTGATATGAGCAAGGTCATAGTCGCAGAGCTTCGGCTGTCTACCGTTTGGGTCCCACATGAGGTTGTTGAGACTTATATCCCCATGCTCGATACCGTGAACCCACAATGCGGCATGTGCTGATAAAGTACAAGGTGTGAGGCGGATTCTAAACAAGAAGGACAACCAGGCGCTTACCGTAGACCAGTTTCCAAAACGCAGACATGAACAATGTCCAGTCGGTGGTAAGGTTTGTGATGGGCTCGTAGCGGATGAAGAACAGAGCTCGTGCCATTCGAGACCTGCCTTCAACAAGGTTGAACTCAAAGAATTTTCGAATCGTCGAGGTGTTGAATTCATCGAAATCCTGGTGGGCTACGAGCTCTGGGATGCAGCGGAGAGCGGCAGGATCCTTCGCACAACGATGTTCTGCCTGAATGATGAGCTCGGCCTCGCTGGTCCGACTGATTTTAGGATAGGATAGCTTTAGGAAGCCTTTGCGGCCATCGTGCTCGAATTCTCCTATTTTCGTTTGGGTGCAATGCCCGGCGAGTCCGTATGACCACGACGAACGCTCTTCCGTAGTGCTAAAGATCGAGGATGTCCGGCGCTCGTCTCGGTTTTTGTACGGAACACAATTGGAGGACATTTCGGGAATGTATCCCCAATGTTTACGTTCGAACCGTTGAAGGAGGAATAGGAACGCAAGGAAGAGCGGAAGTTCCAGAATGAAGTCGAAGTCA